CATTATTTATAAAAATCTACATTTAAGTGTCATAAAAAAATTCATCTAATCAAGCTTAGGTCTTGACACAAATTGTAGAATTAAAGAAATACTGAAATTCCATTTTTAGCAAATTTATGATCAAAGCATTCATCTCGATGAGATTAACCTAACCCGAACAATATCACTCAATCCTAATGGGTCTAATATGCTCAAATGCTTAAAAATTAGGAATTATTGGAAGTTGGTTCTTAGATGTCTAATGGAGAATTTAGGGTTTTGAAAAAAAAAATGAAAAGGTCCGATAAAATTTATAAATAGATCTTCATTCAAGATATGAAGGGGATCACAAGTGACAAGCTTTTTTGTTTTACTATCGTAAGTCTTTGCCCATTGATCAAAACCAACTATCACCATTGATAATCGTCATTGCTCCTCAGCCACCAAATACAACAAACAGTGCTATGTACACCATCACCTAAGCGTTACTCAACAACTTTCACCTTCCAACAATATTGGTAGTCACCCGACTGTCATAATCTGCTATGAACCAATACCAACAACTATCATCGCTCGACCAATTTATCAATCATGGGCTGACACTAATGCAAATCACTAACGCTAATCACCCTCATCACCTTTTAGTATTTTTCACTATTTTAATAGGAGCCTAAGGCTTCGTTTGGGACAGCCTTTTTTTGTACTAAAAAATTACTTTAAAAGTAGTACGAAAGATGTTTCAAACGAAACCTTAACTTAGAAATCTTAATTTTTAAACTCTCATCCGATAAATAGCAAATTTTTGGAAACTTAACCTTACAAAATGGACTATTTCAACTGCATTTGGATTTGTGGTTTTCTTTTTAAAAATTTTTATATTCAACTCCAAATAAAAAACAGACTTGGAATAATATTTTTTTAAAAAAAATCAAAATTTATAATTTTCCCACTCTTTAATGAAGCCAAATTTGTGTCATTCTAGCATCCTAATTTTCAAATAAATGATGCTAACATCTGCGAATATTATTACTTGTAGCCAATTAGAAGAGGCCTTCTCATTTTGTAACTTTTTTTTTTTTGTATTTGTGGATGTACTATATATTTTGATTTTGGTATGGTGATTTTTTTTTTATTATAGGGAGATTTTTTCTTGAAGTTTTCAGTATGTCGTTTGAATACCTAACTTTTTTAATAATTACAAAACATACCATCTTGATTATTGGATCTTGGTGATCTAGGATGGAAAAAATCTGTGCACATTTGGACTTTGTTTGAGACGGCTTTTTTCCTGCTTCTTAAAGTTTCTTTCTAGTATAAAAATTAAAATTTTTATACTAGAAAGCTGCTTTAATAAGCAGTAAGAAAGCCGTCTCAAACGAAATCTTGGCGTAGAGACAAGAAGTAGAAAATCATTATCTCCATTGAGTGGTTCTTGCTTGATGATGTCTACAACTTAGGAATAATTTTAACTATTATGATTTTGCTATATAGTAGCAACTAAAACCTCTACAACCAAATAATGATAAAATTATTTGCAGTGATATTGCAGTGACTTTAAGCATTCCCACATCTTTCATTGCAAAATTCTTCTCTAGTGAATGTAAAACCTTGCAAAAACCCTAAGTGGTTGATGTTTTTTTTAGAGGATTGTGTAGCAGTTTGAAATTTACTATAAGGAATTTTGCAATAATTTAAGTCTTGTTGTGTTCCAAAACATTTATGACGGTAGAGAGATATAGAGTTTAGCGTTCAAGTTTTGTATGAAATTCTAGCACACATTAATAAGAGAGAGGGGTGCAAGACTCATAAGGGACAGCTAAATTTTTATATGAAAATTTTTTAAAAGAAAAAAAAAACAATGTGTAGCCCAGTTAAAATGTTTACATTAGTGTTTATCATTCATTACAAATGATGCCCTTCTTCGAAAGGTGTTTACATAACGTGTAAATATACATCATGTAAAGCATATTACATGGTTGGGCCTAAAAAAATCCAATGATGTGAGAGTTTTTCCCAAGTGGATGTTGACATGTTTGTTTGATCAGTAGGACCGTAGTTTGACGACTAAGATCAAAGGGATAGTTGTCAAGCGATGGAGATCGAAGGGATTACAGTTGGCGGCGGGCGAAGAAAGACGAAGAGACCGTAGTTGGGAGATTGAGGTAAAAGGGACAGTTGTCGGGCAACTGCTATCGGAAGGACTATAATTGGGGCAATGTGGTCAGAGTAGTCAAGTGGTGATGGTCAAAGGGACCATAGTCGGTCGCGAACAAGGTCAGAAGGATAATAATCAGCAAGCAATTGAGGTCAAGGGGATCGTAGTAAGGGAACACTGGTCGGAGGAATCATAGTTGGATAACGGTGGTTGAAGGGACCATAATTGGGCGACGAAGGTCAGAGAGACCGTTGTTGGGAAACTAAGATCAAAGGAATTATAGTCGGCGATCCATGGATGTCGGGCGAAAACCCGATGGTGGAGGCCAAATAGAGGTTCAACGAGGATGGTCGGACATAGGTCCAACGGGGCGGCAGGGCAACGAGGGTTCGCCGGTGGTGGTGCTCTGGGATTCTTGCATTAGAGCTCTATGGAATCTCTAGCCCAAGATCTAAGATCCTCCAAAAAGTCCCCCTCATATAGATAGTGTGAGTGTATTTATATATTTTGAGAGTGGCATGCTCCGTAGTTATGGAAAATATTCAGGATGATTCGAAGTGATGCATCAGACGGCTCATATGGATTTCATCCATCATAAAGTGTTCATAAAGCAATTAATTGCCTTAATGGTGTCCAAATTAGGCAATTTTAGGCTCGTTGGTCGAGCCACTAGATTCGACTATAAACATGTCATATTTGGATATCATTTGGTCGTCTAATTAATTAAAAAAAATTAGAAAGCTACTTCATAAAATAATAAAAATTAAAATTTTTGTACTAAAATGTTATTTTAAGAAACAGTAAGAAAGTCATCCTAAATGAAGCCATAGTCTTTTTGGGACGATCTGAAAAATAATTTTCTTAGAGTTTTTGTGAAAAAAAATGACTTTTCAGTATAAAAAAAGTATTAGAAATTTTTAAATTCAGCAAAAAGAAATAATAGCCAAATAAAATCTTAATTGTAATATAAAATAACAAAGGAAAAAAACTTATCTCAAATTGACCCATAGTCTCCGGCAATCGCTTTAAACCTTTGCCCTCGGAGCCCCATAGAATTACAGATTTACTACAACCTCCAAGAGGGCTGCCGGTGACGCATTCCAGCTCCCAGCGCCGCGTCAGCTCCCCCACACTACTGCTCCCGGCGACGGCCTGCCCCAGCTCCCGGCGACACACTCCGGCGCAGCGCCCCTGCGCGCGTGTGCCCGCGTCTATTGTGAGATTCAAACCATATCACTTGGGAAAAAAATCAGGCAACCGACCAATTAGCTAAATGTGTAAATACGTAATATTTTATCAATACTTATTATTTATACTATATTCTGACTGTAAATAAATTAATTTTTAATTATTTAAAAAATGAAATTAATTAATTTAAAATAAAAATTAACTAACTAATCAATTTTAAAATGAATATTAATTAAATAGTTAATATAACTATTAATAATTATTTGTTAAATCATTTAAATATTTTAAATTTTATTCATTTTTCTTTAAATTTTTAAAAGTCATCGGAAAAGTGACCGCCGGAAAATTCCGTCAGAATTTAGTGATTTTCCTGTAGTGTCAAAGTAGTCAAGTGATGATGGTCAAATGGACCAGTCGGTCGCGAACGAGGTCAGAAGGATCATAATCGGCGAGCAATTGAGGTCAATGGGATCGTAGTAAGGGAACAGTGGTCGGAGGAATCATAGTCGGGCAACGGTGGTTGAAGGGACCGTATTTGGGCGACGAAGGTCAGAGAGACCGTTGTTGGGCAACTAAGGTCAAAGGAATTGTAGTCGGCGATCCATGGATGTCGGGCGAAAACACGGTGGAGGAGGCCAAATAGAGGTTCAACGAGGATGGTCAGACAGAGGTCCAACGGGGCGGCAAGGCAACGAGGGTTCGTCAGTGGTGGTGCTCCGGGATTCTTGCATTAGAGCTCTATGGAATCTCTAGCTCAAGATCTAAGATTCTCCAAAAAGTCCCCCTCATATAGATAGTGTGAGTATATTTATATATTTTGAGTGTGATGCTCCGTAGTTATGAAAAAAATTCAGGGTAATTCGGAGTGCTGCATCAGACGGCTCATTTGGATTTAATCCATCATAAAGTGTTCATAAAGCAATTAATTGTCTTAATGATGTTCAAATTAGGCAATCTTAGGCTCATTGTATGAGCCACACGATTCGACTATAAGCATGTCATATTTGGATATCATTTAGCCATCTATTTAATTAAAAAAAGTAGAAATCTACTTCATAAAATAGTAAAAATTAAAATTTTTGTACTAAAATATTATTTTAAGAAATAGTAAGAAAGTCATCCTAAACAAAATCATAGTCTTTTTGGGATGATCTGAAAAAATAATTTTCTTAGAGATGTTGTGAAAAATGACTTTTCAGTATAAAATAAGTATTAAAATTTTTAAAATTCGGCAAAAAGAAATAATAGCCAAATAAAATCTTAATTGTAATATAAAATAACAAAGGAAAAAAACTTATCTCAAATTGACCCATAGTCTCCGGCAATCGCTTTAAACCTTTGCCCTCGGAGCCCCATAGAATTACAGATTTACTACAACCTCCAAGATCTCGTGCAATGACTGCTCCTCAGTGGGCTGAAAAACCGATCCTCCTACCTGATTATCAACCGTCCATATAAGATCCGACAATCTTAGTTTCTCCAAAGCAAATAAGAAAGCTCCAACAAAAGCCCACGGAGATTTTAAACCGGGGCCCAATAGGCCATTTATCTCCGTCCGATCTTGATCAGACGATCGGACCTTTCCATTTGACCGCGCCACGTAGCCGTGTAGCCAAATTCGTTTCTCGTGATTCCAAAAACGGGCCGTATCGGGCCGGGTGAAATTTCCTTGGATTGCATCTCCCCTTCCGCCTCGGCGTTTGCTATAAAAGAACCGAGCACCGATATCTCCAATCAGCTCGATCGCATCAGATCTCCAAAACCCGATCTTCGCCACCGGTGACAAGATGAGCTATTACAACCAGCAACAGCCGCCGGTTGGCGTTCCTCCGCCACAAGGTAGATGGGAATCTCTCTCTCTCTCTCTCTCTCTCTCTCTCTCTCTCTCTCTCTCTCTCTCTCTCTCTCATCGATCGATCGATCGTGGATGCGTTTGATTTTTGGTATTCAAAGTGTTGATTCTGATGATTTGGATTGTGGATTGTGAATAGGTTACCCACAGGAGGGATATCCGAAGGACGCCTACCCGCCTCCGGGTTACCCCGCTCAGGGTTATCCACCGCCGGGGTACGGGGGTTATCCTCCTCAAGGGGCTTATCCGCCGCAGGCTTACCCGCCGCAGTACGCGCAGCAACCGCCGCAACAACAGCAGAGTAGCGGGCCCTCGTTCGCAGAGGGATGGTGAGATTCATCTCTCTCTCTCTCTCTCTCTCTCTCTCTCTCTCTCTCTCTCTCTCTCTCTCTCTCTCTCTCTTTCCAATTCATCGATCTGTCAATCGATAAGCGATCTTTTTGGAAGTTTGTCTGGGGATATGTGGATCGGACGGATGAAGGACTTACTACGGTGATCGGCCAATTCTGACGGATCCTTCGATGGCCTCTGCAGAGCGGCGTATGCAGGTCGTGGAATGCTATCGTACACCGCACCGGCGGTGTTGCCATCAGAATTTGTTGGATGTCACTTTCAATAGGGCCTGCCAGTTAATTGCCAGCCGATTCATCTATTTTTCTTTACTAATTTCCTTACTAAATAAAACCTAGCCCTAATAAACAAATTTGTTCTGGATATATTTTGTATGAAGACATTGATGAGTATCTCTGGTTTTGTGGCAGCTTGGCGGCACTGTGTTGCTGCTGCCTCCTGGAGGCTTGCTTCTGAGAGAGGAATCTGAGGCGGACGCTGCGGCGACGGGTCAACCGGAATATGATTTTACCTCCCCGCGCCGCTCAGCGGCATTGGGCGTTGTTCGTCGAAGTATCTTTTCACTTATCTGTTTTCTCTTCTGTCTTCTTAAAATTTCTGGGTCTTGTGTTTGGATTTTATTTTCTCTATTTAGCTGGGTTTGTTTCGCGTTAGAAGATGGAGGAGGAGATGATCGCCTGTTTCTCATTCTCTTTGCTGTGTTGTGAATTTATTTACCTTTTTAAATACCTAGCGTTGAACAGATTTGTCATTTAAAATCTCAAATTTCTGTGAATTTTGCTTAGTGATTTCGCTTGATTTGCTCTGCAGAGAGCATCGCTGCCGTTTCTCTCAATCTTGAAAATTTTAGTTTGGCAAATGCTTATAGAAAAAATTCTAATAAATTGTTTATTGTTTGCTTCAGGATTCAAATATATTGCATTAACTAGTTAGTAAAATGATTATAGGACATGATGTGAAAGTTAGACGCAAGAAAAATTGCCCATGGCCCCACGTGTGGGTGGCTGAAACCCCTACCTTTTAAAAAATTAAAAAAAAAAAAATCTATCTTAACAAGCACAATCTTTAGTTGCAAAGTAAGAGTATCATCTAAAAATTATGTCTTTTATTATGCAATAATGTGTTATTTTCATGTCCCCCCCAACCTGATCCCCTCCAAGCTTTGCAACCCCACTAGAAATCTTCCCCACACCTCTTGTATGGTCCTCACTATAGTTTTGAGAAAAACCATGGCTTTAGATAACCCGGCTTCTCCCCTGATCACCACGCTCCTTTCCTCCACCATCTTTTCCATCGTTAGTGCTCACCAATTAACTTTGGTGTCTCCCAAGGCCCACAATCATTTCATCCCTAGGGTGGCATCATTGTTTCGTAAGCCCAAAGGAAGGAAGTACTCCCTCACCTGGACCCCTCTATATGGTCAAAATCACCCCCGTACACACTCCTCTACCTGTCTGCACCTTCCCTATGCCCATCATCACCCCGTAGCACCATGTGTCACCAGCTTCACCCCCAATTCATCCACGACCTGGTTGGAGATGAAATTGTGGGTAGCCCCACTGTTTATCAGCACCACCACCTATCTATTTGCTATCTCTACTCTTACTTTCATGGTGTGATTTGGAGTGAATTTCACCCTGACTTCAAGGAGACCCCCGCCACATCTAAATGCATTTCTTCTTCCTCCTACACCACCACTACCTCACTCCCATCTCCCTCAATTTCATCGTCATTACAGACGGTGAGAACTTGAAGAGTTCAGTCCTTGCACCTATGCCTTGTTGTATACCTTTCATCACAACTGAAACACAACCCCTTCGCCCTCTTCTCCTGTAACTCTGTCTCAGTGAGCTTTTTGAAGTTTCCCCCAAATCTCTCTCATACAGTCTTCTCCTTCGGGGTCTACCTAAGAATATCCGGTGTATGTCTCTTGGAAGCCAAAAAGGTGGTGATCATCCTGTATGAATCTCCTAAATTGCTACCTCTAGGCCCTTTCTCCAGGTGCCTCTGATCCTCCACTAACTGGGCTAGCTCCATAGCTTCTCTCAAATAATAAAGCTGATAGGCCGGTTCACCTAGGAACCGGCCTAGCGGCCGGCTCATATCTACATGAGGCGAAAAGGGGTCTGCCTCCTTTAATGTTGCCACCCACTTGGAGCAATTGGGGGAGGATAATTTGCGAGGCTAGATTGAGAGGGAAAATTTGAATGAGGGATGTTTGAATTAGGAAATTAATTGTATTAATAGGAGGGTTTGTTTTAGGGATGGGTTTTATGCATCATTTGAGTTTCTCTGGAGTTCTTGGGTATTTTGGCTCTAGATTGTTTTGTTTAGAGATTTGGGAGAGAACGATCGTCCTCTCAAATTGAGGATCGTCCTCTCAAATTGAGGATCACTTGTATCTTGTTCTTGTGTTTGTTTAGCTTTGATTCTCTTATTGCAATCCATCGTTTTGGGGCTGATTTTGCCCAGGTTTTGTATTTATTCTCTTTGTTTTCACCAATTAGTGATAGGTTTACTTGCGAACTCAAGTATTTCCCTTAGGGTTACTTGCGAACTCAAGTATTTCCTATCAAATTGGTATCAGAGCATCATCTTGGGACCAACGACGGCTGAAATTTTGAAATTTCAGCGATTTTTTCGCATCCGGAAGAAGCTCTCTTGAGATCCTTGGGAAGAAAGATGGCCGAAAAGAAAGTCGAAGTGTTAGAAGGTGAAATTGGGCAATTAAAATCAGATTTGGAGGGAAAATTATTTTATTTTCAAAATCAAATCTCCTCCAACAATGAAAAGTTGGAAGGGAAGTTCACTTTGATGGAAGCGTTGTTGAAGAAATTACTAGAGATGAAGACCAATCCGACGACATCGGAAGCAAGGAAGACCACCGGCGGCCATGTTGTAGGAGGGAATCTGAACCTGTTTAGGGGGAGGAAAAATTTGGAAGTGAAGATCCTTGAGGCAAATGACGGCATGCCACCTATAGAACCACTTTTTAGAGAGGAGACGAGTATGGGCTATGAAAAGAGGGGTGCTGGTTTTGTGGGAAGAATGGGGGATTTCCACCACCGAGGGGTCGAATTTGAAAGGAGGAGAGGCGAAGTTGATGATGAATACAATTTTGATCGTCGGGGGGAAGATCATGACAGCTGGGGAGCACCTCTCGTTCGTGGCATGGGAGGATATAGAGGATCCAGGGGGAATTGTTGTGACCCAAAAGTGAGAAAGCTGAAGATGCCCATCTTCGAGGGCGAGGATGACCATGGTTGGATCTACAAGGTGGAATGGTATTTTTTTTCGTTAATAGGCTAATAGAGGAAGAGAAGTTGACAGCGGCAGGACTATACTTGGAGGGAAAGGCACTGGCTTGGTACCAATGGTAGGACATGAGGCAACCCATCAGGACTTTGAGAGAGTTCAAGGAGTGCTTACTGGAACGTTTCCGAACCGGTAGGGGAGGAGACTTCTATGAGCAATTCTTTGCCTTGACGCAGGAGGGGACAATGGCAGAGTACAGTGATCGGTTTGAGTACCTAGCGAGCCGGCTGGATCGTCTATCTGTGACCGTACTTGAGGGGAACTTCATGAAAGGGCTCAAACCAGAGATCAGAGCAGCTATTAGAGTGGTGTAGAAACCTGCACAGAAGGTTAGCTGGGAAGCAGAGAAGACAATGCAATAGAACAGTAGTTGGAGAAAACTACTTGTAATTTGTGTATTAAGAGTAAAAACTGCATATCCAGGCTATTCCTGGGGTATAAAACGGCTTCACTGGCCTAACCGAAAGTGACTAAGGAATTATAAAAGTTAGCTCACAGGCTAACAGCACTAAAACAGAAATAAAGTAGAAATGGTAGTGGGATACGTCCCTGGAAATGAGCACATGGCCCGGTAACTTGTGCTGGCATGACACCTCCTTAAAGATGCTCCGCATCATTCGCCCTACTTCAAGAAATTGCAGCCTAGCCTTGTTGTCAAGAGAATGCTCTTCATTTGAATGATACGGGTATAAATCAGCAACATTAAAAGTGTTAGGTGTATTGAATTCTGGGGGTAGCTGAATAATGTATGCATTCTCATTAATGCATCGAAGAACTGGGAAGGGTCCGAACTTCCTTTGGCCCAGCTTACTGTAGGAACCCGCAGGTAGTCTTTCCTTCTTCATACGCACCCAAACAAGATCTCCAGCTTTAAACACTTGCCGGCGTTTGTGACCGTCTGCATCCTTTTTGTATTTGGCATTGGACTCTTCCAATCTTGCCCGAACTTTGGCTAACATTTCTGCAAATTGATCCACCATCGTAGCCGCTACCTTGCTTTTGCAATTCGGAATTGCTGCAATGTCTAAAACAGTGTTGGGTGATTTAGTATATACAACACTAAATGGAGACATACCCGTAGAACGGTTGACCATGGAGTTGAATGCAAATTCAGCTTGGCAAAGTATCTCATCCCACAGTGTGGGCTGTTCTTGTACTAAACAACGTAAAAAGTTCCCCAACGTCCTATTAACGACCTCCGTTTGTCCGTCGGTTTGGGGGTGGTACAACGAGCTAAGTTGTACTTGTGTCTTCAACCGCTTCCATAACTCCCGCCAAAAATGACTAATAAACTTTACGTCCCGGTCGGAAGTGAGACTTCTGGGTACTCCATGTAGCCGCACGATCTCCCTGAAAAACAACTTAGCAATGTTTTGTGCATCAAATGTCTTCTTACATGCGATAAAATGGGACATTTTGGAGAAGCGGTCCACAACGACCATAATTGAGTCGTTTCCTCGCTTCGTACGGGGTAATCCGAGAATGAAGTCCAAGCTCAAGTCTTCCCAAATTGAGTCCGGAACCGGGAGTGGTAGATACAAGCCGGTATTCTGTCCTCCTCCTTTGTACATTTGACACACTGAACATCGATCCACATACTTGCTGACGTCTCTCCTCATGTGTGGCCAATAGAACTTGTTCTGCAATTGCAACAAGGTCTTGTCGCGTCCTGCGTGAGCTGTTAAACCTCCACCATGAATTTCTTGAATGATTCGCTGTCTCCATGACGATTGGGGTATGCACAGACAATTGCCCTTAAATAAGAACCCATGCCTCAGGTTGTACTCTTCGCTGGGTTCATTGTGCACACACTGGAGCCATTTTTGCTTGAATTCTTTATCCTCCTGATAGAGATCTTGTATCAGCTCCAAACCCGAAAATTCTGTCTGCAGTTGCGTGAGGAGGGCGGAACGACGGCTCAACGCGTCGGCAACTCGATTTTGCGCGCCACTTTTATGTTTCAAGACAAAAGTGAACTTCTGTAGAAATAAGATCCACCTCGCATGCATCCGATTGATGTTTTTTTGAGTGTTGATGTATTGGAGCGCCTTGTGGTCGCTGCATAGAACAAAATCCTGATGTAATAAATAATGTTCCCACTGTTTTAAAGCCCGAATTACCGCATACAACTCTTGCTCATACACTGACCACCGCTGCCTTGCTGGACATAGTTTCTCGCTAAAGAATTCAATCGGCCTACCCTCTTGCGCTAGTACTGCCCCAATGCCCACCGTGGATGCGTCCGTTTCAACCGAGAATGGCTTCTCAAAATTCGGTAATGCTAGCACCGGAGCAGAGGAAATAGCCCGTTTAATTTCCTCAAAGCACCTTTGTTGTTCTACCCCCCAGGTGAATGATTTTTGCTTCAACACGTCCGTTAGGGGGGCCAATATGATGCTAAATCCCCTTATGAATTTTCTGTAAAAGTTCGCTAGTCCGTGAAAGCTCCTTATGTCAGTGAATGATTTA